TGAATGATATTATTTAGTTATATTGATAATAATGATGATAGTGGGGTTGAGTTAAAGTCGAGTAAGATTTTGAATTGAAATAATTTTTTTTTCTAGAAATTTGATAAACAACACGACCGAAACAATTCCAAAAAATGAGAGAAGAAGAATGTGAATGGGGAAAAAATTCTTGCAGAAAGTAAATTCGTATGTAATAAGCACGACATAAAAATTTTGATTATTTTATATTGCCCTGGCTGATAAAAGTTTCTGCATCCGCCGCTGCAGGACACCAAGTTCCTTGCCCCCAACATCCCCAAGCCCGCCTTCATCATCACCCCTTACACCGAGGCCGAGGCCCAGACGGCCGTCCAATGCGCCGTTAGGTACGGGGTCTCCCTCCGCGTCCGCAGCGGTGGCCACGACTACGAGGGCCTCTCATATGCCTCCTTCATGGGCGCCCCCTTCGCCGTCCTCGACCTCCAGAATCTCCGGAATGTCACCGTTGACGTGGCCTCGAAAACCGCGTGGGTCGAGGCGGGGGCCACCGTCGGAGAGCTCTACTACCACGTGGCCCAGGCCAGCGGCGGGACGCTCGGGTTCCCCGCCGGCATCTGCACCACCATCGGAGTCGCCGGAAACTTCGCCGGAGGCGGGTACGGGATGATGATGCGGAAGTACGGCCTGGCGGCCGACAACGTGATCGACGTCAAGCTCATCACGGCCGACGGCAATCTCCTCGACCGCGCGTCGATGGACAAGGACCTCTTCTGGGCCACCTGCGGCGGGTCGGGGGGAAGCTTCGGGGTCGTGCTCGCGTGGAGGGTACGACTCGTCGACGTGCCCCCGAAGGTCACCGTGTTCAGCGTCGCCAAGATGCTCAACAGGACGAGAAACGGGTTCGACGTCGAGGCGCTGTACAAGTGGCAGAATGTCGCCCCGGTTGTCGACCGGAGACTCTTCATGAGGGCCATAATGCAGCCGGTCGGGTCGACGGTGATGACGATCTACAGCTCGATGTTCCTTGGGAGTAAGGCCGAAGCGGCCCTGCTGATGAGGAAGAAATTCCCCCAGCTGGGGTTGACCGACAAGGACTTCTTGGAGAAGAGCTGGATCGAGTCCGTGATGGTAATCGGTGGATTTAATTCGAGCATGACGCCGGATTACCTGCTCAAAAGGATTCCCGCGTGGAAGCTCAGTTTCAAGGAGAAGTCGGATATGGTGCAAACCGCCATCCCGAGAGCAGGGCTGAGGAAGCTGTGCGAAGCCGTGAAGCAGCAAAGCATGTCGCTGGTGATTCTGACGCCTTACGGAAGAAAAATGGCGGAGATTGCGGAGGACGCCACTCCTTTTCCGCACCGCAACAACACGCTGTTCATGGCGCAGTACCTGGGGCAGTGGGCAACGGAAGACAAGAGGCCCGAGACGCAGGCCCAGAATGAAAATTGGGTGAGGGGGGTTTATGAGATGATGACCCGTTACGTGTCGAGTAATCCGAGACGGGCGTACGTTAACTACAGGGATCTCGATTTGGGGAAGGATGAGAACAACTGCCCCAACTGCAGCTGCCCGAGCATATGGGGATACAAGTACTTCAACAACAACTTCATGAGGCTCGTGGATGTCAAATCGAAGGTCGATCCCAAATATTTCTTCTTTCATGAACAGAGCATCCCCACTTATTCGGCGCTCAACAACTGCGTTCGCTTGGTGTCGTAAGCTGCTTTATCTACCGTGCCATTGGGCCGCAGGGCCTCATAGTTTGTGTTGCGATTTTATGTTTGGACGTTTTTTTTTTTT